TTTCTAGAGCCTCTGACTTGGGTTTAGAGAGTCTAGCATGCTGCCAGAAAGCTGCATTTTCTACAAGCCACGAGAAGGTTCTCACACAGCTGTTTCTCCACCTTGGCGGGCAGCCAAGTTGGAGGGGCTAGGCCAGGGGAGGGGCCTGCCAGGTGCCAATCCTGCACTGGGCATGGGCAGCCTGCCACTCACTGGAAAGCTGGAGGGAAGGTAGAGAGGAGAGGAGGGGACTGGGTGGCCATCAGATTATCTGCCAGGGACAGGGGCTGCAGACAAAGCACAAGTGAGGGACTTTGTACTTTTAGCCACCTTGGAATCGCCTCTGTTGTCCCCCTGCCCAGCACCTGTGCCTTGTCAGAGATGCCCTGACTGGTGTCCATGAGTAAGAAGCCCCCAGAAGCAAGACTTGAACACGGACCTTCTCCTGCACCCTGCAGTAGTTCTTCTGGGAATGGTAGTGTCCTCAGCAGAAAGTGGTGGTGGCACTGGGAAACTGGCATTGCTGGGTAAGATTTAGGCAGCGGCTGTTCGGGAGTCTGCACCCATGATGTCTTTTTCTGGCTTCCAACTCTGCAGGATTACAGATAAACTGAATTAACTCTGTGATCTCATCATCTCCAAGATGTCTTGAACACTGTGTAGATCTCCTTGTAAGCTTATTTCATAATAAAAAGTATATACAAAGGTAAAGAAAAAAAAATGTCCTTAGTATCGCTGTAAAGTCTGCGTTTGAGAGGCTCTGTGGTTTTGCTAGTGGTTCCTGAATAAAAAAACTAACTCCCTTGATCATTCATAGGGAAATGGAGGAAAATAAGTAATGCATGGGTTTTTTGTTTGTTTTAGAGGCAAGGTTGTTTTTGAGCCAGAGCACTCCACTGAGCATCATAGCCAAGGGGAGGAGATCTCCTCAGATCTGTGCAGCTCAAAGCCAGAGCTTGGGGGTGTCCCAGCCACTCAGGGGCCGTGGAGGGGAGAACACACTGGACAACGTAGCTCAAACCTCTGCCTCTGGAGTGCTTCATGCCTCCCACCCTTCAGCTCCACCTAGAAACACAAATTAGGATAAGAATTCAGCACCTTGAGGACTGGCTTTGCTTTTTTTAAAGGTGTTGCTCAGGTGATTCCTCTTACATAACCTGTTGGCAAGGTTCTAAACAAATGCATCTAGTCCCAATCAGACATAAAAGTCAGAGCCAAAGGACTAGACAGAAATAGAGCTGGAGAGCTCACACTTCCTTTCACTTGCTCTCTAATTCCACGTAAGTCACTCCCACCCAGCATTTGCTTGCTTCATTAATAATGAAGGTAAATAATTTATTTTTGGCTTCCTATGAGAGATGTGTAGAATTGCTGCAGAAGTGGAAAGTTATTTCACAGTAATATTTTTTTTTTTTGCAGAGGACTTACCCATTGGAAAAACACTTTACAAGTTTATCTTCTTTAATTGTAGGATGAGCTGCGCATTAGGTATTACGACCATGCCCACAGTCATGGAGCTTGGAAGCAGAGATGCTTTCTGTCCGGAATGACTTTTGCATTTTGAGTTCTTTAGAGTCAAGGAGAAAAAGGCATGTAAGTTAATTATGAGCTTTCTTCGTAGCTGTCATTCTTCCATACAACATCAGATTTGA